TATTATGAGAAGTTGAAAAAGTGGGGCAAAGACTAAGTTGGGCACAACCATTCCAGGAAAATTGAACAGAGTCGTTTATAGATTCTTCTCCTTTAACAATGATTCAATGATAAGGGGTTTATCAAAACAAACTTCTGTATGGTTGGTCACAGAGTGTTTGAAAAAGGAAACTTATTGATTGAGTTATCACGCAAAAATTTTTTTTGTAAGACCTTAACTTTGACGCTGATATCTAACTTCTGGCATTAAGTTAAATCCTTTCAACATATGCTAAACAACAATGTCTTTCTCCCTCAGTTACCTATTGTATGACAGGATGCCTATTTCTAAGTATTTTCACCCCTCTTAAAATGATTAACACCAAGTGTCTAGTAACTACATTGTGAACCATTATGTAAGAAAAATCAGCTTCATCACTCAGCTTAGCAAACAAATGAGGTATAGAATATGTGCTATCGTTTCAAGTTCCACCGGCTTATAGGTTCTGAAAAAACTTACTTCCACTTTGAACTAACGCCTAAGGAATAATATTATACTTAGTTATCAGGGAGAAATTCATAAGCATGTACAAAGAAGGCCATATAATATCTGTTACAGAAATAATTTTGTGCATTGTAGTTTCATCAAGGACGTTCTAACTTCGCATCTAAGCATTCTTCTGTCACCAAAATTATATTGGTTTCCCATCTGTCTCATACTGGGGGATAAGAACAATACATAACACATTTTAATGCTTACTACGCCAAAAGTGCTTGTATGTTTAACAGTCATGTTGCTCTTATTACGACGGTGGTAAACAAAAACTTGAACGAAATTTAATGACACCTAGATCATGATACCGTTATTCAGCAGCTCGTGTATGATTATACTGTCCACTGCCTAGGCAATGCTCTGAAAAATCTTACCTAGTTTTTGCTAGACCGCAGTTAACATGCGTAGCCGTACCAACAGCCCTTCCAAAAAAATTTGGTAAGGCCAATACTCAAGAATTACCGTTTGCCTTCCAATAGAGAAGGCTTTTTTATTTCTTTTTAATTATTCATTTCTTTCTATAATTTTGTAACAAAAACACTTGTTTGTTCATATTTTCAAGTATGTTACTATATTCAAAGCGGTTTTAGTCACTCAAGTCTAAGCTGGAAGAAAGCGGAACAGAATGTTTAAAGATCTCGCATAGCCAAACAACTACGTAAAAAACGAATTCACCATCAAGACGACCGTGAACTAAAATAAAATCAGGATCTTCCCAGCAAAAGCAACAGTTTTTTATACCGAAACTAGTAGCATTTGCCAGACTGTGTGATAAGGCTCTTTGTATTTCTTATCGGACTATTGAAAATTGTAAACTAAGTCCATGTTGAAAAATGCAGAATGTTATTGTCAAATAATGAAGCAGCTCTGTCGTTAAATTTTAGACGCACAAGATTCATCGGTAATTTATTATTTAAAATTTTAACACTTTTTAAGTTATCCAGACAAAGCGTGTAGATGTATATTTGAAGCCCCTTTCAGTTATTTCAATGTTACATATGAATCAGATTTCAATAGCAGAAATTTAGATAACACCCATCTACCACTGTATGGTGTGTTAAAAACAGTTTTGAAAATGTTTGAAATGATGATAATAATTACGCACTAAGTTGTAATACCTCTGGTTTTAGTTATCTGTTTCGTTCTTCGAAGTGATAAACAAAAAAAATTATTCAAAATTATTAACAAGAATCATATTTTTCTTGATTTTAGTCTGGTGGCTGAACAGTTAAAAAAAACGGGATCCACAAAATATTTTTGACAGGTTTTGTTCTGTTAACTAAAAACTTTTTTCTTTTATATTACTCGAAAACATCAATCAAGTAACTGAAGTCTAAAATCCAGAAGACCTCAGTAATTCAAGCAGAATGTTTTTTAACATTTGCTACCAGTGTATTACAAACATCTTCATCTGTACTCGATTCAGCGAATGATCGTTCCAAACATTTCTTAAATAACTGAAACAATATGCCAGACGCCATCCTACGGTTGATCGACATCAGATTTCATATCAACACATCAGCCACATGCAAATAACACTTGTTTAATAAATTTCATCCGAAGCAAAATTTAACAAGTATGTTTTAAACAACATTCTATAAATAATGTTCGCATCTCAAACTTGGTTTCGAAAACTTTAATTTTAAAAACTCTACTTGCGAAATGTGAGTTTGTCAAAAATTATTGAAGAACGTTTGTTCTGCGTATCGTTCCGAATATAAAAATATAAATGGTTACAATGATTCACAGAATTTTGTTTCGGCCAGTACTATATGTTTCCAATTCTCCGTAGAACAACTAAGACATTCAAAATCTATTATTTTTTTCATATATTTCACATATTT